ATGTCATTCCCTTCAGTATGATGCTATCTTTATCAGTGACACTAGGATCTCTAGTATATAAACATAACTGATTTTGTCTTTTCAAATCACATGTCATTCCCTTGAGTATGTATTTTTTTCTGTATTTGTCAATGTAAAGCCGTTTTGAATTGCTTCGGACTTGTCTATTTATAATTCAGCTACTCATAGTTTCCACAACGACCAAGGGATTTCAAAAATCTTGGTTTTGTCTATTTTGCACATGCGCTATAATGTTGGCTCTTGTCAATCATAGTCCTAAAAMRAGGCTWAACCTGTATCAACGAGTCTGCAGTCAAATTTCACAGCGGTATTACATTCAAACTAAGAAAACTGTGAACACCTAAAATATGTCTGGAATGTTAAACATCGTATCCTGACCAATGGCATGCGACTGTTAATTAGAAACAAATTCATTCGCACATACCATTTGTCAGAACACGATGCTTMACATTCCAGATATATTTAGGTTTTCAAGGTTTTCTTAGTTTGACTGTAACCAAACGATCGAGTAAAAAGGTCAAATAGTTTTGATTCAAACCAGTCCGYTTTCTATTGGTTTCATCCTAACCAGCGTCGCAAAAACCTCCATAGTAAAGAAAGCATCATTGCCCGCATTATTCAWGATCTCGTCGGCTCGGATATTGTTATTTATGTCCAGCGGAATTTCCAGATCGTTCATGACCCATTGCAGATCCCTATGCACGTGATCACCTACAAAGGGAGAAACCGCTGTGTGTAATAACTTAGTATCGATGACTTTAACTCCCCKGATGTCGATGCCTCGTTCCTTGAGGTACGCGGTAAGGTTTTCTGCCGCATGCGCAGTAATGTATTCAACTCTATGTGACAAATCCTCTATGATTCTCTTGGCCTCCAACAACGAAATCTCCTGGGTCACTCCGAACCGGAAGCCATCCCGGTTATCCGGCATGAGGCATTCATTTTTAAGATGCTTATTATCTCGAATGATATAATGATTGCAACCCAGCACTTGCGACCTGGTTTCCAAGGAAACCATTCGGAAGACAACGCACCCAATTTCAAGAATATCCGAAGGATTCTCTTCGAAGACTTCCAGATCCAGCGCCAGTATTTTGCAGCTTTTTTCCGAGATGTGATCTCGAAGTTGATCCAAGAGTCGAATTCCACGTACATTTTTCTGGAATAGTATTTCATCATTCTTTCTCCGTAGATTTTCAATACACTTATTGAAATCTCCTTCCGATGCAAAAATGTGCTTTCGACAAGGCAGCCTTCTCTTTGAAAGCCTCGTAGGAGGAATATGTGGCACTTTGAATCCAACATACCTCTGTAGCTTCGCTTTGATGCGGTTGTACAAAATAAAATCAACGAATAGCTTGGCCGTGTCGTTACAATCAAACGCGGTCACAAAAACAGACTTGCTAAGATGACGATTATAGACCCTTTTGAAAAATTTTGTCGCGTCAACTCCATAGTCCCCACTCTTTTGGCTACAGAACGATATCCATCCATTTTTTATCTTGATATATTCGTACATATATTCCGGRCATTCCTCCCCACATGGCAGGCTGTAGTTTGTTGCCATGGTGTTGTCTCTCTCGAAGTTTTCTTGGTAGGTTATAATCTTGATCCCGAATAACTTTTTTAGCTTAGTTTTGAAGTCGTAGAAGGAGTTACAGGGTGTATTGAGGTTTGATGYTGTGGACGAGTTGCAGTAGAACTGCTCTGAATATGAACGCTGTTGAAAAAAAAGGGATAAAGAAAAAGCAAGTCAGTAAAAATTCAGTTATATTTTGCACAATTAATTATATCTGCAAAAATTAGCTATTATTACATTTACATATTACAAAGTRATTATTATTATTTTAAKATATATATGTAAATTATGCCTTGAGCGACTAAATAAACTGGGGAGTTTTCTAGTTAGGCTCTWGAAGTCTCAATATCKAATAGACAATTTTTCCAAATTTATTTTCCGCTGTGTTCCATGACTATAGATTCATTTTCGCAGAGGTTGTCTCGATTTTGCGTAGAATATGCATATATTCTKTGTTCCTGTCGTTGAAGTTGTACATTCTTTACTTTACCGTGTTGGTATTTGTGACATTAGAAAACTTCAACTCTTAGCACGGCGTTCTTATAGATACCGCAAACTTAAAGCTGCMGTTCGACGTCAGACGTTTTCCTTTCGACATTTAGCAAGGCTTCATAACGAAGTCAGTGTTGCTGGAAGAGCCGCCATATTGAATGTCAACGATGCTGAGTGTTTCTCYGTGTTTGCGGGCGCGTTTTAGGGCCTGATCCCTAGCAGTAAACCTGATGCTAAAGGCCTCGATCTAATTWACAAGAGGCTAATCATGAGCACATGAATCTGAACACAGCGGTACTTTAAGAAAACAAGAGGAAAAACGGAGAAACGGGGGAAAATCYCTTGAAGCACAGGAGAGAACCACTGACACTGAAGTAATCGAACCTCGTGTAATGGCGGGTCAGGGGATTGAACCAACGATATGAGCGGCGACGCATAGCGGGAAAATTTAGCTTCCGGTACTAAACGCGTCTACCACACAAAAAGAGCGGGAAAACTTTATTTCCGGTGAAAACGAACAACTTATTCAAATTCAAAACACGTAATATTGTATTAATTAAATTATTATTATTGTCAGCAGTAAACACGTTTGAATGCTAATTAGGTAAGCTAGATAGGGCGTAATTTCGTAACCTACCAGCATGACAGGATTAATAATATATACAATCACTTAAAACCAATTATTAATGTTCTTAAGATGCAGTTTAAATACTTGGAATGTTTG